CCCTTTTAAGCTACTACATCCATAAGTATAAGTCAAGTTCAAATTATAGCAGATCACACTTTTTCCTCTTCTTTCTTTCTCTAGTTGAGTTCTGATCATCCAAACATTGAAGCTAGGTCAAATGGGTACTATCTGCAAGTATGGGCATTCTTGTGCTTCTCCCCTAACATCATATCAGCTGGACCCTTTGCTCTCCCCTCTAGCCCTCTGTGACTATGACCCTGAACATGGGCTCTGGAGTCTCCAGGCCTCACTATACTGCTGGCCACCCAGGTTGCAATCCAGGTTAACAGGAGTCTATTGAACGTGGTCAGACGTAGCTCACAGCTTCATTGCTGTTTTTCCCCCACTTCCCCTTATCGGTAGACCAGCATGGTCACCAGCAAGATTACATGCCTGCTTGTGTATTCCCTTTAAGTTTCAATCTTGGAAGGGGTTTGCCCTGAGGAGACTTGATTACTTGCCTTGATGGCTCCTGGACAAACAACTTGCTAGTTCTTGTAGTAGTCAATCAGACTTCCATTATTGTTTTTGATTTTTCCTGCTGGTCTTTCTTTTAAGAAGTATCTTCTGTTCCTCTAGCTGTTCCAGGCTGGTCTGCTTGTCTTTTCAAGTGGAAATTTCCCACCTCAGAAGAGTCTGGATTGGGATCAGGAATCCCCCATATGGTCTTATGCAATGCAAAGGCTCCTCAGGAAGACTCTTTCACTGGGCAAGTTCTAGCCCCATTTTAGGTATTCCAATCAGTTATAGGATGAGGATGGACTTATAAGCTTTCTAGAGTGATGTTTCTGGCTATTCCTTTCTCTCCCCCTCAAGTGTCTATTTTATAATAGTAAGCAATGGAAACCAAGATTCATAATACAGTCAAGCATCTTAACATTATTTCCCCTCTTTTACACATTAAACCATGCCTCAATCCCTGTATCACAGAGCCCTGTTGTTCTAAGGTTGAGCATACATCACTATTTACCTCTGTCCCATTTAGCACATGCAAACCTGCCTAAATGTTCTCCCATCCACCCTTCTTGTTCTCCCCTCCCCCTTCTTGTGTATTGCCCCTCCCCAACACCCACACTATCATGTGTCTATTCCCTACTCTGTGCTCTACCTTCCCGTAGCCCCTTCTTCCCCTTGCCCCACCCTCTACAGTCCGTAACCAACAAAGAATTTTTTTTTTTCCTTTTAGTGTGGGTATTTTTTCTTAAGCATTTACAATAATGGTCATATGCAGTATTTAAAAACATGGAATGCTTCTCGAATTTGCGTGTCATTCTTGCGCTGGGACCATGCTAATCTTCTCTATATCATTCCAATTTTAGCATATGTGCTGCAGAAGCAAGCACTCACACACACACAAATATATATATATATTATTGGCATTTTGATTTGTATTATTCTCTTGGATTATCTTTTGATAGTGTTGCCTATTTTTCTCATTCAAGCAGTTACTTTCCTGATTGATGTATAAAAACTCCTAAATGTTAGGTAATATTAATTATTGGTCGTGTGTTGTAAATATTTTTCCAGTTTTCCATTCCCTTTTTAATTTTACATCGGTTTTGGCATACAGGAATTTTTCCTCTTACATAATCAAGCTACCCGATTTTTCTAGTTTCTCATTTTTACGCACAAGGCTTAAAAGTGTGCAGGCTTAAGGCAAAGATATCCTAAGTGACTCTCGACCAATGAGTGGGGCTGGGGACTTTAAACTGAGGTGGCTCAATGTGCTCTGTCATGTCTTTGAAGCCACTGGGCAAGGTTTAGGTCTGGGAGAAAGAGTTGGATATATAGGCACCCAGAGGGGAGGAACCCATTTTGAAAGAGATGTTGTTATTAGGTACCATTGAATCTGCTCCGACTCATAGCGACCCCTTTTATACAATAGCACAAAACACAGATCGGTCCTGCAGCGTCCTCACAATTGTTGCCATTTGAATCCATTGTTGCAGTCATTGTGTCAATCCATCTTGTTGATACAGTTTTGAAACTGTTGTTGTTGTTGTTAGGTGCCATCGAGTCAGTACCGACCCATAACGACCTTATGCATAGCAGAACGAAAGATTGCCCGATCCTGGGCCAACCTCACTACTGTTGCCACGTTTGAGTCCAGTGATGCTGCCACTTACTTAGCCAATCCATCTCGTTAGGGGTCTTCCTCTTTTTCTCTGACCTTCCACCTTACCAAACATGATATCCTTCTCCAGCGACTGGTCCCTCCTGACAGTATGTCCGAAATATGACAGATGAAGTTTGGCCATCTTGGCATCCAAGGAGCACTCTGGCTGCACTTCTTCTAGAGGAATAAAATGAGGAGGAAATTGTCGAGAGAAAGACTCTGTGTGGGTGATGATGATGATGAAACTTTTAAGAGTCATTTATGTGACTGGAAATTGGATGACTGTTCTGTAACCTTTTCCAAGTTCCTGAGCTTTGGGCTGATTTCAGGGGACTTTTGGGGCCAATTTCTCCCCAGACTTGGGCAATCCAAATGATTCAGTTGCTGGGGTCCCCTAGGTATGGGGGAACCCTTTTGGTGGCCAGTAGTGTGATGAGGAGGTGGAAGAGCTGCCTCCGTTACAGTAGTGACCAGTTCCCTCACAAATGCTGTCTCTTAACTTTGCAAAGTGTTCTCAGACTTTGCAAAGCTCTTCCACATAACTCTGCCTGTTTTACTTATTATAGCAACCATGTGAGGCAAGTAGAATATCAAGGATACCTATTCTCATTTTTATGGAACCTAAATAAAAATATAATGTAAAAAGTATTCTGATTTGGGTGAAAGGACACAAAGCAAATTCATTTTCCATTCAACAATTTCTAGGCAGTTTGTTTTGTGACATTGATTGCAATCTCCACAACGTAACAGCAACCGTCCCACTTCCTCCCTGTTTCCCGTTTCCATTCCTCCCTTCTTTCCTATCCCTTCCTGCCTTCTGAGCTGGCAAAAGCTGCCCTTTTGATCTCATCGGGTTGATTGTTCTAAGAAGTGAGTACCTCCCTGGAGTTGCAGGCCTGTCTATTGGCTAAAGATTGAAAAAGAATATGAAATTATGTCACCTTTTGAAACTCAGCGATTGAGTTATGAAGTTATGAAAAAAGACCCCACCACCACCACCGCCGCTGCCCAATTTCTGGTGAGGTGCACAGCTTACCAGAGAGAGCCGTGTGGCTAAGAGGTAGTGTGCAGGTGATGGAAGCAGACATCAGGGTGAAAGGCCAGCTCAGCCACTTACTCTCTGACTTCAGGCAAGTAACTTTTCCTGAGTTTATAAGTATCTATAATGTGGGCACACGAATACCTGTCTTGCAAGGGTGGTATGGGAGTTAAAAGATATCATGCTTCATGTTCTTCCATTCTTTTATCTTTTTGGCATTGGGTGTTTTGGGGAGCCATCTTGAAGCTTGATGTGGATCGAGTGTATGTAAACCCACTCTAAGAGATGGGAGAGCCGAGGAGTACCTGCACAGGGTCTGCCTAACAGTGGCTTCTCTTCCATTCTCCCATCTTACAAATACCCAACAACTGTGATGCACTTGGAGGCCTTGACTAAAGGGTCCTTGTGTGGTTCTATAATCCCACTCATCTAAATGTCCTTTCCCATTGAAGGATTTCTGGTGTGGCGCTATAGGATCAGTACTGTACTGCAAACCACAAAGTTGGCAGTTCAAACCCACCTGCTGCTCCTCAGAAACCCTAAACAGAGTTGCTATGAGTCAGAATTGACTTGACAGCACTTAAAAATAGCATCATATGCATGGAGGGGGTTGGAACCATGGCAATGAAACGATATACGATAGAATGAATGTAAAACTAATGTTCTCCCATGTAAACTATCATATAATTCACAATATAACATTTAAAAAAAATAGCATCATAGGCTGTAGATAGAGCAATGCTGGCATTGAGAATATGACTCATTAAAAAGAAAGAAAAATGAGCTATTTATCCAGAAGACCACTGTATAATTGGGCTCAATGAATGTTTACAATCACTCACATGTAAATGTAAAAGAACTAAAAAAAGATTATTGAAGTATAAGGAGTCTAGCAACAGAACTCAAGAGAGGGCTTAGTAGGTGGCTAAGAGTAGAGTTCACAGGTCAAATTGAAGCTACCACCTGCTTGTGTAAATAACGTTTTACTGGAACAAAGACATACTTGTTTCTGTGTTGTCTATGGCTGCATTCTGGAATCCTGGTTTGGCACTGTGGGATAATGCGCTGGACCGCAAAGTTGGTTTGAACTGTTGGAAACCCTATGCAGGGTCGCTATGAGTCGTAATTGACTTGTCAGCATTTAACAACAACATGACTGCATTCTGGGTGGCACAAACAGCTTACTTTTGGCTACTAACCTAATGGATGGTAGTTCAAACCCATTCGGTGTTGCTACAGAAGAAAGATCTGGTGATCTGTTCCATAAAGATTAGAGCCAAGAAAGCCCCATGGAGCAATTTTACTCTGTAACACACGGAGTCTCCATGAGGAGGCTAGGACTGTACAGCATGTGCTTTCAGTGTTATTTGTTTTGATTTTTGGCTCTGGCTACAACAACAGAGACTCTATGTCTCGTAATGATGAGACATTTACAGTGTCTCTGATCCATTACAGTGAAAGGTTGCCAACCTCTGGCTGCCAGCTGTTACTCTCAGGCTCTGTGACCGTAGACTAATCACTCATACTAGCTTTGCCTCAAACTCCTTATCTATAAAATAACAATAATAATAATACTTCCTTTGCAATTTGTTATAGCGATTAAATGAGATAATCCATGCAAAAGCCTTAAATATGAGGGGGCTTCAAAAGTTCATGTAAAATTCCCATTATGATTTCATTCCATTTTCCACGAACTTTTTGAAGTCCTTCATATGGTGAGTTTTCAGTAAACAATTGTTGCTGTTGTCAAATGCTGTTGAGTCATAGCGACCCTGCACAGGGTTTGCAAGGAACAGCTTGGTGGGTTTGAACTGTTGACCTTGTGTTTCACAGTCCAGTGCTGAACCTACAGCGTCACACCAGGAACCAAAATAGCTGTCATTATAAGGAGGCATGATGGTATAACAGTTGAACACTGAGCCACTAACCAAAAGTTTGGTGGTTCAAGCCCACCCAGCAAAAGACCTGACCCCTAGGGGACAGTTCTACTCTGTCACATAGAGTCGCTATGAGTCGGAATAGACTCAGTAACACCTAACAACCACATCATCATTATTACTAATATCATTAGTTTGCAGCCAAGTCCTTTGGGTGAAACACTCACTCTGACCCAAGGCTATTTGTCCAACCCTAGTTTCAAAAGCCCCCACTATGGATATCAACAGCAGGTAAACCCCTGCCACAATCATGCTTTCCTAAGATCCACCATTTCAATAGCATTAACTCAGCTTCCAGGAGATCAAACCCACATGCTGCTTTCCTCCACACTTAATGTAGACACTTAGCTCAGTGTAATTGAATACTTTCCCGTAGTCTGTGTACCCTATCTTGGGGAGAAGGGATTGAATGAGGCGTGTCGTTGGAATTAAATGTCAAGAGCACCAGCTGGTTCTTTCTAAAAATATGGGTTAGATATTCCAAAAGGTGTGAACCATCAATCAAAGTACAAGCGAAGCGTTTGCATTTAATTGTTTGTTAGAAAACAATTTTGAAAAAGAAAGAAAATGAACCTTTTAATAAATGGCATGGGAAACCATTAAGGGAGCTGCCAAAACAAGTAGTCCGTGTTGGCTCCTAAATATGATGGGAAAATGCTGCTCAATATCAAGAAGAAGTCTTACCCTACAGTCCAATCAGCACTGGGAGGTGGTTTCCAAGAGAGAAGTGAAAAACAAAATCCCACAGCCCAACCTTTCAGAATAATCATAGTCATGCAGAGAGAAAAACTTTTCCTGCCCTCTTCCTCATTGTCAACCTTTGCAGGTTAGAAGAGCAATCCCTATGGGAAGTCAAATCTCTAGCCCAGCTTCTTACCAGGTGGCTGAGCAGGGTTAGAGGAGGAGAAAGTGTGGAGAAACATCTACACATAAATAATGGACTGGTAACCCCACCACCACAGGGGTATATCCTGACCCTTTGTAGATCACCTGAGCCCTGAATGACCACTGCCATGGGCAGTGCTTCATCAAGTTGCCCTTGGAATAGGGAAGAATCTTCTCCTTACTCCCACACCTCATCATTGTGGACTGGGTGGGTCATAGGAGGGAGGAATGACTGAAAGTAACAAGACTGCTCCCATGGGATTCCTCCTCTACCACTCCTTGTCCATTCATACTTCCCTTACTGTCTAAGTAGTTGCTCGTTGACTCTGACCCCTGGAGATTCCATATGTATCAGAGAAGAACTGAACTCCAGAGTTTTCAACGGCTGATTTTCTAGAAGTAAATCACTAGGTCTTTCTTCCAAGCTTCCTCTGGGTGGACTCAAAGCTCTAACCAAGTTTGTACCCCTCAGGAATTCTCCCTTACTGTCATTTACATCCAACAGAGGTTTATTGAGCATCTCCCTACATTAGCTGGCAACCTTGGGTGTGCATGATAACCAACTGCAGAGCTCTTAAAAATGACAATACCTGTACCCCACCCCCAGAGAGCCTGATGTAATCTACATTTGGAGAAGGGCTGATGCATTCTACTGAGTGTGTGTGTGCCAGTGGGATTTTTAAACTTTCCAAGTGATTCTAATATATGAACCTATTATGTGTCGAGTGGTATATATATGTGAATAACATAAGCAAGGTACCTGACCTCTTGGAACTTATAGCCTAGTGGGGCAAGACAGACAATAAACAGATGAATAATCAAGTTACTTTTCTATAGTGCTACTAGGAAACTTAATCTTGGGGCTGTGAAAGAGAGAGTCAGGGCTGGAAGAATGTGTTACTTTAGCTAGAGTGGCTGGAGCATCATGGTTGTGGGCAGTATTCTGTTCCTTTGTAGTGAGTTCTGTTAGAGCTCAGGACTAGTGTCATGGTCAGTCAGATAAGAAGCCTGTACCTTTTTCAGGCTAGTGAGCATCACTTTGTTCCCTGAGTCCAATGTTGTTGTTAAGTGTTGTCAAGTTAGTTCCAACTCATAGCTACCCCTGTACAGGGTTTGTGAGGCTATAAATCTTTGCCAGAGAAAAAACCTCATCTTTCTCCTGCAGAGTGGCTGGTGGGCTCGAACCCCTGACCTTGTGGTTATCAAACAGAGTCACTGTGCTCTCTGAGGGAGAATTGTTGTTAAGTGCTGTCTATTCAGTTTTGACTCATAGCAATCCTCTATAGGGTTTCCAAGGAGTGGCTGGTGCGTTTGTACTACCAACCTGTGGTTAGCATCTAGTGCCACACCAGGATTGTTGTTGTTGTTATTGTTAGGTATCGAGAGGGTGCCAAATCATAGCGACCCTATGCACAGCAGAATGAAACACTGCCCAATTCTGGGACAACCTCATTACTGTTGCCACGCTTGAGTCCATCGATGCTGCCACTTGGCTGGGAGTCTTCCTCTTTTTCTCTGACCCTCCACCTTACCAAACATGACATCCTTCTCCAGTGACTGGTCCCTCCTGACAATATGTCCCAAGTGTGAGAAATGAAGTTTGGCCATCCTGGCCTCCAAGGAGCACTCTGGCTGCACTTCCAAAATGGATCTGTTTGTTCTTTTGGCAGCCCATGGCACTTTCAATATTCTCCTCCCAACACCATAACTCAAAAGCATCAATTCTTCTACGGTCTTCTTTATTCACTGTCCAGCTTTCGCATGAAAATGAGGTTATTGAACATACCATGGCTTGGGCCAGGCACACCTTAGTCCTTAAGCTGATATTATAGTGATTACCCAGATGGAAATAAAACCTAAGGTCACATGTGCTCTTAAAGCCACAGACGCTTTTAAAAGTAGCTATAACAATGCATAGTAAGAGAATCCCAAACAAGCAATGACTGTGTCTTGAGTGCCCTTTTGGTGATCAGCACAATGCAAAATGCAAAGGGAAAATGAATTCCATGTCACAGGGAGCGTAAGTTGTGGTTGGGAGAAACCTAACAACCAAGACACAACCAGAGCACAATACAAGGGAACACTGCATTTAACTCAGGTTTGCTGGGGTGATGGAATAGGATTTTAAACAAGAGAGAGATAACTGGGCATAAGAACAGAGAGGAATAGCTTAAAGGATGAAGCTAAACTTTAAGTTCAGCCTGGCAGATGGAATGGATCAGTAGAAAGAACATTAGAATATTCTTGGATGGTGAATCAGTGTAAACAAAGGCAATTAGAGTTAGTTTGCTTCTTACCTGGTCTGACTAGAGTTTAGAAGATTTTAGAGAAAAGAAGAATAAAGGTGAACATGATTATAAACACTTTTGAAAGTCAAGTTACAGGAATTACACATTTGACTTGCTCTGTTAATCAGTTATGGAGGTGTTTAGTTACAAGCCACAGAACTCTGAATGCATTTGCTTAACCGGTTAAGGATTCTCTTTCTTAAATAACAAACATGCCATCACCAAGCAGGTATGGAAGTTCCACATTGATACTCCATTTAAAATATTATTTATTTTGTTGTGTTTTTTTTTTCAAAGATATACACAGTAAAATAAACATCAATTCAATAGTTTCTACATGTACATTTATTATATTCTTTGAGTTGTGCAGCCAATTCTCACCCTCCTTTTCTAAATGGTTCCTCCCCTATTAATATGAACTCCGGGGGTAGCACTGTAGAATAAACGCAGGACTGCAGGGTTGGTTTGAACCACAAGGTCAGCAGTTCAAACTCACCAGCCGCTCCTTGGAAACCTTATGCAGAGTTGCTAAGAGTTGGAACCAGCTTGACTGCACTTAACAGCAAGAAGATTCCTATATAAGCTTTTGAGTCACTGTTGTCAATTTAATCACCTATAGATAGATTCAGTGGCACTTAGAAACAACAACAACATAGATATATCCTAAAAGAGCATAGTGCTGAAAGTAGTTTTTTTTGTTTTTGTTTTTGTTTTGTTTTTACTGGCTAAGCTAAACGACTATTTGGTTTTAAGAAGACCTTAGGGAATATTTTTGGTTTAACGTTTAAAGATTACCTTAGGGCAATAGTTTCAGGGGTTCATCTAGCTTTCATGTATCCAGAAAGTCTGAAGTCCATGATTGAAATTCTGTTCTGTATTTCCCCCCTTTTGATTAGAATTCTTCTTTTGAATCTTTGATCAAAATGTTCAGTAATAGTAGTTGGGCATCATCTAGTACTTTTGGTCTCATGGCAAAGGAAGCAGTTGTTCATGGAGGTAATTAGCCACACAGTCCATGTCCTCCTCCTCTTCCTGATTCTCTTCCCTCTGTTGTTCCAGGTGGATAGAAACCAATTTTTGTGCCTTGGATGGTGTTTTCAAGCTTTTAAAACCCCAAGCACTACTCAAAGAAGTAGAAGGT